TGTTTAGATAACGTTTCAGATATTCGGTAATGTCCACCAGGTGATAGTCTAGCCACTCGACTGAGCTAATTCTAGTCAGTTTCTTCGCTGTTCATGGATTTGTTTATTTTATAATTTGGGTGAGTGCGTTCGGCTCACGGCGGCAGGGTTTCCGGATATCAGCAGCTATCGCATTATTAGGTAGGAGGTCGGTTGATTGCAATGAGGGAATTATGAAGTGATAATTCAAGTATTAAGAGAAAATGACTGCTTCAAAAATAAACAGTAATCCAATTAATTTATAGTGTTTAAAAAGACGAAATTAACGTAATATTAGGTCGGTGATGTCAATTAAAGATGTGGGAAGTAGCTACTGATATGCGGATATGATAGCCGTAGTAATTTATCACAGATGTATCAGGTTCGGCTGACTCAGGAACGAGGTGAAAATCAATTAGCGAGCTATCTATTGAGTGGGCTGTGATTATCTAGGCTGGGAGAGCATACCAATTATGGGCAACTTTTGATGGGAAAAAGTGTAAATGTATCTGGTTTTCTGTCTTTTATTGTGCAATTTTTGAGGCGTTGCTTCAAGAAGCGTGGCAACAATGGCACTACCTTATGCTCGCGCTGGGATGGTTCAGCGTATTTATTATGTATGCCATTATCGAATCACCTCTTATTCTCCGATAGATTAAAAAATAATCCCGAGTGTTAGAGTCTGTCCTCGTGAAATTTGTGTTTGGGACCTATCACCCACATGCTTGCATGTCTTTGTACTTAATCCGAAAGATTTCTATCTCTTCTGAGGAGAGGAAGAGTCAGGACGCCGTAGACTTCAAGGTTAGGGCAAGCGTATGTTTTAATCAGTGTTTGGAATAACTCTGGGTTGAGTGCACGGAGTCGCACTCACATAAGATAGAAAGTCGCGTTTGTTTTATCTTATCCTCCATGTAGTTTGAGCTAGTTTCTAAGCTGACAGTGGTTACAAACCCGAGATCACGTCCTGTGAAGACAGTTAGAAGCTGATTTACATGAAATGAAAGTGATTTGAGTCTGTTATTATTTCTCTACTTACGACCCAACTATTTCTATTACTTAGTATTCTTAGACATTACCACGTCCTACAAGTCACCAAACCAGATTGTTTGGACAGGAACAGAACTATATTACAAATAAAAAGTGAAAGAAAGGAGTAACAATTAGAGAACGTTTGTGTACTTATAAATTTTACATAACAAGATTTTACAGTCTTCTACATGTATCAACAATCCTTCACGGAAGATGTTTCATTCCAATCTATACCCCAACAGCAGCGCCAAATGAGGCAGAAAGTTCATGATGTAACATTTCGAGAAATTAAGTCTCAAGCCTCGTTGTAAGGTCCTTGTGAAGCTCAAATGAATGTTTTTGCTTTTTGTGGACCTTCAGATCGGTGTCGCCAAGCTAACTTCATTTAGCGAGTCTTTAATATAAATAGAAAAGAGAGTGGGCCTAGGGGTACTCCCTATGAATCAATTGATGTTGAGGCCTCCGCACTTGAGTGCACGCAACTTACCTTGGTACGAAACATCCTGCCCTCTAGATATTTTTGAGTCAAGGCAGAAGTGGATTACTGAAACATGCCTTTGTAACCTTTGCAATGATAAGTACATGAGATACCGTGTCAAAGGTTTCTACGAAATCGAGGAATCTGACATGAATCGGTATCTTATGGTTTGAACAAGTCATTCAGCTTTCCCACGTTACAAGTTGATTTGACGCACACGACCTGTCGCTCCTGAATCTGTGTTGCGCTTTATGGAGGAAGTTGTTTTTATCTTTGTATTCCCTCAGTTGTTCGTTGACCGGTCCTTCCATTACATTGTGAATGTCGTGACTGGTCTGTAACAGGCCTGCTTCTCCTCTTCACCTCCATCGAGTACCGAAGAGGGGGTGTTCTCTCAATGTCTTAAGAGTTAGTGTTAATCTAGTGAGTTCGTGGGCAGATCGCAAACTGACATGCCGATGATTTCCACGCGCCACCCAAAGATCATACGTCGGATGTCGCCACATTCTGATAACTCTCCAGAGTTCAGGAATTCTAATCTCTTTAATACCAACCAAGACGTTGATTTCTCAGACTATCAACCAGCACCACAGTTGAGAGACGTCCCGTGCTTGCAGGCTACTGGTTTAGTCGACCCATGAAGTTGAAAATGAAGGTCTCTACCATTTCGAAGCCAGCGAGATGTTCTATATTTGACCCTTAAAAGATAACGGTCTCATGGCTTGTAGGCTTTCTTTTGTTCATAATACCTTAGAGACATTTGCGGTTGTCTTGCATTCCGGCTGCTGGCTTGGCCTAAAAACATTACCAGTCGCTGAGAACCATGATGCTGTATCTGTTTCAACGTTTAGTAAGAGCTGTAGTCAGAAGACTCCAAGAAATATTTCCTTCATACCAGGCTCTCCTTTTGGTTTTTAACGGGCGTTCCCTGACCCACCTTGCTCAGTATCTTCGCTTTCTGGGTGTTCGAAAAATTTATATGAGATTAAGTGCTTACAACTACATTGTCTATCTCAAAAACATTTTGCATATCTAAAGTACATTGCAAGATATAGTCAAGTTGTTGAGACTCAACAAGAGTTAAGAGAAAAGTTGAGAGGTTTATGGTCAGTGAACTGAGAGAATTCTCAACTCTCCACAAAGTACTGAAAGTACCGTACAGCACAATGCAGATCTGAGAGTTCACTATCGACAACGTTACACCTCAGTTTGATTCTTTGCAACCGGCTTGAAAAGTATGCCAAGAGTTTCTAAGTTTTCTATATCCACTGTTGCAAGACGCTTCTGACTGCTAAGCCGGATGAGCATAGTTGGTTTGACAAAAATTCCTTGATTTCTCGCTGCCATGCAAGTTGATGACTTTCGCATGTTGACAAAGCTGGTTAATTAAAGATCTTGTGGGAGACGTGCAATTAGGTATGAACTGTCGATTAAAGCTTAACAGTCCGTCAAACGTGCGCAGTTGTTTGGCTGTGGTCCGTTTAGGGCAGTCTAGAATGCCCGCCACTCTATCTGAAGACGAGTACTTTAAGCGTCTGTAGTATGCCCGAGAAAGTTAAAAATGTCGGTTCCAATTCAACATTTTTGAATGTTTACAATAATACCACAATTTTGGAGTAGTCGTAAAACAAGGTCCAGATTCTAGAGATGGTATTCTCTGTCCGGACCTGTAATTAAGCGGTCATCAACATACTCGGCACGAATTCGAGACCTCTGAATATGTCACCGATGAATCTCCAGAAAATTTGATTGGCATATCTCAAACTGAGAGACATCGTCAAAAGAAGTTATCATGGGAGTTTTAGGAATGTCTTGTGCAGCCATATGAATTTGGTTATGTGCTTTAACCAAGATGAATTTTGAGAACACAGTCATATCCTTCGAGGTATCTGGCAGGGTGTGGATGTGTGGTAGTGGTGATGTGTGATTTTTGTAGTGAGTCGTCAGTAATCATATTTGGGTGCCAATTACTGCTCTTCTTTCTAGGGGATACATGCAAAGGAGACGCTCACAGGCTGTTCGATAGCCTGATAATTCTTTGGTTTGTCGTAAGATCAAATTCGTTTTGGGTCAGTCTTGGGTTTTTGAGAGAGAAACGGGCCACAGGTGGGTCTTTAGTCGTGATATGACATGCAACATTGCTGCTTACACATGGTAGTTCTGGTTCTGTTTTGTATAGTTTAAAGTACTTTTCGGGTAGTGTTTAGAAGTATGGACTGATCACATATTTAATCGTAACTGCGTCTAACCTACGTCTAGAGGATGAGACTTCATAAACATATGACTTAGTAAATCCATCAACTAACCTCCGTCAACTTCTACATGGTAGAGCCAGGCTACTATATTATCAGGCCAGGATGGCATCATTTAAAAGGTGGGGAAAAGCAAGAGCTTTGATCTTTAATGGTTTGAGTATCTTTCGTCATAATGAGGATTAAATATACAAATAAGCCAAATACTTGAGGAAAGAAATATATCACGACATCTAAAAAATGATATATATAATGTTACAACCAGGAACAGTCTTACAATTTATCGTTTGATGCTCCAGATCACGTCGAGTTTGCCACTAAAGATACCATAGATATTCAGGTTTGACAACCCTTTGTCCAGAACGCCTTTATAATCGAACGTTACCGATCCAGTTAAGTCAGGGACGAACGCGTTCAAAGAAATATTTGTAAGAAAGTCGACACTTCCAAAAGTATGTGATCCAAGTTGGTTTTTGGTGTGAGGAGTGTGAAGCATGGCGTACCTAACGATGATCTGGTTAGATGAGTAACCGGGAGCTTCCAGTTATTGTGCGTCCAGCAAAACTGATGAGGTCGGCATCAATGTTGAGAACTTACAGCACTATTTATTTTGGGGGGTTATTTGCCATTGAACATGCTATTTTGCACCATAACGGTTCGTATCTAGCCAATAAGTATGAGGATGTCACAGGTATTCAGTGTTTGACAACGCTTCTACCAGTAACACCTAATATAATTCGTTCCCACCCAGAGAAATCAAAAGACAGAGTCGAGGAGATTGGAAGAGTATATTTGGCGATGACCAATATATCGGAATTCTCTGATCTAATCTGGCTAGCGATTGCGGTTGATGTTGAGCACGGCGTTACCACACGTGATCTGGTGCGGATGCCTGACCGAGCGCCTTCAGCTAGATGAGTCCACTAAAACATTTGGTCAGCATCCAATGTCGAAAACTTAGAGCTATTTATTTTGGGGATTTATTTGCCGCTACAGGTACTTTGCGTAGTAGGGGAGAACGCAGAGTAGCGTGAATGAGGTGAACAAGAAACGAGAATAAGTGAAAAAGTGAGCCGATAACACAATGCACCTACATTTATTAATGAAGGCAACAAATACTCAGCAGTAACACAAGCTTACCATAAAGTTAATCTTGAAAGTAAAACTAGAAGCAAATAGTTTAATCCGCTAAAGCACTGTGCTTTTAATTTCGGGCGAATATAAACGTGGTGCAATCCTAGTTCTGATTGGTTCACTCAAGGCCGTCCTGGCGGTACTTTTACCCTACGCTCTTAGCATACAATTGTATGTTCGCAGAGTTCAGAGCCAGTACTTCTGTTCATTTCTAGGTTTTCTAAATAATCGCTCTGATAGATCACCAGTAACGGCATCGGCTGTATTTGTATGACTAAATATAAGGAGGGTCGTCAAAGTACTTCGTTGTTTCGTCTTCTGAACTTTGAACTTTTCGTCAAACCAGTAATATGAATCTTAATGTTAACTTGTCTAGAATAAGTTCGTAATATCTTTTGGGTTATCTGCAATAACTGGGTGTGTCGCATATCTGGCCTACCTTAATTTGACTCATCAGCGTTCTCAGGATCTTGCAGCAAGTAGCAACATCAGTAATAACCATAAGTCTAACTGGGACTGATCTTAGAGATGCCACTCTACAACACAGTATTGTATATTCCTCCCATTGAACCCCCAAGAATCACTGATTTCGACTCCAGCGCTTCTCACATTAACGACGATAGAATTAAAATTGCTGAAGTAGAAGCTTGTTTTGGAGAATTTGAGGCACAACTTTCTAAGGTAAATTTTTCATTCCTGTAACTCATTTTGTATTAGTCTATGGATATCCCTCTAGCGCTCCTCGTTTTGCGTTCAAAGAATAATAAATAATCTGCTCTTCTTAATGGTTTAGTAGTCATATTACGAAACTGTGCAGGTGTGTACATGGTTACTTTGTAGAATCTTATGTAAATTAACTACTTTGCCGTTCTAATCACGTCATTAAGCTTTTATAACAAGCATATGATGAGCACATCTTTCTTGTAAGTATGATACAAACCACAACCTGGATAACTATACTAATTTGTGCATCAACGTGAAAAAGGCTATTGAATGGAATATCAATTATCCTATAAAAATACCTTAAAAAGGTTTTGTTAGATCTTCAAAATGGCCAGTGCTCCTTAAACCATTTGTCGCTAGTCGTAAAATTATTGTTCCGTCCCATCCTTTAAAAAATATTGCTGCTTTCTTCACATTCATATTGTAGTTAACTATCGAGTAAGGGTACTAATTCTACTTCTCTTACTGTTTACTGCTTTAAGTTACCGAGTTTTCGAGAGCCATTAGGACGTAGATTCCAGGACACATTGTTCTAAGAAACATACACTCTAGAATTCAAACAGATAAATGGTTCTGCTGATCAAAATATTTGCATAACAAATGTCGAATTCCAGTGTGTTAGGTGAATCAATTACTTCTGCAACTAGCACATAGACTTGTATACTCATGTATGGGTGTACAGTAAGCTTTTCCTTGGAGTTACTGTGAATGGTGGTCATCAAAAAAATATTCGTCCCTCTTTAATTACTTACATTCCTATTACACCGATCGGTTATAATTTAGGATCCTTTAAAAATATTGTTTCATCAAATTAAAAGTACAAAGACACTACTGACTAAGTTCCAACTAGGGACCTCAATATTTTTGATAGTCTCTTTTAACTCGTAACAAGTGAAATTATGCTAAAAGACTAGTATTCCGCTAAAAAGTTAAATTAAAACATGAGAATATTAGTCTGAGTCCTTCAAAATCTGTAGGCTCTTTTTGTACACCGTTGCCTTACATCACCGAAAGGTAACTATAGTTTTTGCCCCCAAATGCCCTGGTACGGCTGAGAGTGCGGAGAGTCCGCTCTCTCTCTCTCGAAACGCTTTCACATGGCCGCGCGTATATAGCGTCTGCCAGGGAAGTCCTACTCACTGCCTTCTCGTGGCGGGGGTGTTGTTTACGAAAATGAGAGGACGAAAAGCGAATGTCCGGGTTGGTGGATATGGCGGACCTACCTATGGGAGTTGGGAAACCCTGATTCCAAACCAATGGTGCACATGGGCTCCAGTATCCTGAATGAAGAAATGGCATATGAACCTTGTACCAATATCTATGTGTTAGAACAAATAAATAAAATATAGTTTAGGATCATAAAACTTGAAATTGGTTCGTGATATAGATGTTGAAAATTAACATTCTTTATGTTCTAGATATATTTCTATAATTCTTAGTCTCTATCTATACTTTAGTTGCCTTCTATTTCTTTCGGCTCTCTTATTAAGTTCCTGTTACATTACTGGCGTTTAATGTGAAAATTTAAACCTACAGTTGCACGACGTTCGCATTTCCAGCTACCTCTACCACATTTCCTACAAACATACGTAGTCTGCTTGAATGCTTTATAAAAAGGGAGACTTATTGTTTATTTATTTATTTGAACACATAGATATTAGTACAAGGGGGCACCAAACACATATGCGCCACACATTTGTGAATTAATTGACATCTCGTCAAATTTGTGTGAGGGCTGTGATGTTGCTCGGGTGCCTGAACCGAAGCAGGTGTCCGCCAACCCGGTTAGAGCGCCGGAAATTCGCTTTTCGTCTTAATTTCGTGGACAACACCCCCACCGCGAAAAGGCAGTGAGTAGGACTTCCCTGGCAGAGGCTATATACGTGTGGCCATGTGAGAGCATTTCAAGAGAGAAAGCGGCTCTCCCCACTCTCAGCCGTATCAGGGCATTTGGGGGCTTATTGACTAGATGCCAGTCCGCTGAAGTCATTTTTGGCTGGCAACTAGAATATTCGATGTTTACTACTTAACGAAAATTAGGAATTTTTACTAATTCATCTACCAGGTGCGCATTCATATACCTGACTTCGGATAACACCTTAAGCACAAGGGCTAGTGATGTTACTCAGTTACCCATACTGAAATAGATGAGTCAAGATTCAAACCCATGGCTTGGTGGATGAAGATCGAACTCCTTAACCACTGAACTACTGGGTTTAATCGTGACTTGTAACTACTTCATTTGATTAATTTTGTTCGTCTTATCAACTGATGTATTTTCTTTATATACTAGCTTTACACTTAACATCGTCATTGTATACTCACAATGCTTCAAAGAATTGCTTAATAAATAGTCGGTTTTATAATGGTATAACTTGTTTTTCCGCGACTACTCTATTGCACTAAAGAATCACTGAACGAAATATCCATCAGTTGACATTTTTTGCAACTATATTTATGCTTCTCAAGATGTTTCATTGTCTGTTTTACTGACTACATTTAACTAGCAAAACCCACTATAGTTTAATTCATGAGTCTATCTGAGTTGGAACACCGTTGAAAACTTGGGAGTACTGGACGGCCGTTTCGCCCTTCAGTGAGCATTCATGACCCCTCACGCGGAACTTGAACCTAGGACCTTCAGTTTCACGCGCAAACGTTTAGTCTCTAGACCACTGAAATGGCATCCAACAGCGTTAATGCTTAACTTCAATTGATCCATGATCTTGCGCAACTCTCCACCCATTGTCTGAGGTAGATAACCATCTCCACACAACACGGACTGGACTCCACTGGTCACAACTTCTCACTAGAACTTTAGGAAATCCATCTTGAAGCTACTCAATAGTGAGCATATGATTACTATCAGAATGGTGATGTAAATTGAACCGACTCATGAATTCAACTATTAAAAGTGCTACAATCTTCACAAATCCCCACTTTGATAAAACTTACTATTTTGAAGACCACGTTCAGGTGACCTTGCAACTGTTGTTATTACTCGAATAAGCAATTTAAAGTATTTTACTTATTTGCTTTATACTTGTTCCTCCTCCTTCGAGAGTTTTTTATTCATCTCTTAACAATCCGGTTTCTACGTACCGTGATTACACTTGACTGATTCTTTATTTCTCATCAAATTAATTCTTATGTCATTTTCATAACAATTATTCAAAGTAGGTTTTTGTACTTTTTTATCTTCAGTTTTGCCATTGTAGTCAATCGAATGATGTTCATACTCAATGTTGTGTACCTGGAGCTGGAAATTTTACACATCCAGTGAATGAAAGATACCTACGTCGTACTGTAGATGAACAATTAAGAGATCTTACACTTGAAGGTGAACGTAATCGAACACGTGTTGATCGCGATCCTCAGAATAGTAATTTTGATCGAAACTCAATTTCCATCTTACATCGACGTGGAAGATTTGACTCACACAGAGCTCAGGATTCTGTTACACAATCCTCAAGTGAGCTACCTCAAAATTTTAACGAATCCATGACTGCAGGCGGAATAGCTGAGGCAGAAAGCAGTGATAATTTTCTTGTGGATGAAGAAGAAGCCGAGGCTACAGTTGCAACAGAAGAAGAACTTGATGCCACGGAATAAACTTTCTCGATCTTTGTTATTTAGAATTATTAAGTGTTATTATTTCCATTTTGGGAAATCCACCAACTGATGTTCATGTCAGAGATGTAAATATATATGTAGTAACTTGTTATTATGTTATTGCTTCATCTTCCAATCTGTAGGTCTTCAGACCAACTGGACATCATAGTTTGAACTTTTTCGTAAGTTATTACAAATTCAGTGTCCCCTTCTTTTTCATAATAGACTTAAGTAAAACATAGTTAGCATGTATTTCTTTGTGTTTCAGTTAACTCACAGTTATTGTATGTCACAACAAATAGGACTTCATAGGTGTTCAAATATTCATTGGAGAAACAATTTTTTAATATGTGACCATCAACGACTTCTTTTCTGATGACCAGTTGCATTACTGTTCACTTCAAATAGGAATGTAAAAAAACATTACATCTAACACTCTTGATAGAGTAAAAAATCGATTTAATTTTGTCACTAATTAGCAAATAGGCAACTTATAGTTTATTTTTTAATTATTTGTCATGAAATGTTTATTTCATGAATAATCCATTAGACATACTTTTCAGGATTGTAAGAGGTTCTAGGAATTACAAGGTTATATTATAACCTTATATAAAGAACTTAATACAGTGGATAATGTTAAAGGAATATTAGTTGCTTTGTGACAATCATTTTTATCGTTGGTTAGTTATTTGTGATTTATTAAGTAACTCTTGATCGTAATATACCAGTTAGGTATTTTTTTGTATAGTCAGCCTTGATTCCGTTATATATATATATACAGTCAGTTGGACACCTTTTCATTCTTTAAAATCTGTTCTGTTCATGACTTGAGGATTTGTCTCATGAACAAATTATCAATCGGGTCAGTCATTCTAGTATTTTATCAAATCAATTTTTTTTAACTATTGAGACAATATTGTAGCGTTATGTACATCGTGTCTTTGTAAATACTCTAATTATATATGTTAATATAGAAATTCGATTGTTCAGAAATTGATTTCTGTTGTAAATTGTATTTAATGTGCATGAACTTATTGTTTGTCAATTGTTTGTTTATAATATGATGAAACATCTGAATCTTGGAATCAGCTCATTAAGATATTGAATTTTGATCTGATAGATGTTAACAGATGCAGACTACCTGGCCAAGTTTCTTGTGATGACCAAAATTAGTAGTTGGAGATGTAACCAATGGTTGGAGACTCTTGGTGACATGGCTCAGAATCGATCACAATGGCGTCGGTGTATACACTCCCTGTCTTCCCTTAAACTAAGAGATTAAAATCACTTCATATCTTTCTTTCTACGAACTAATTCTTTCTTCCTATACTATATCCTTATTGCAACCTTTGACCCAACCACTCCTATGAATCCGGTGTTCATCTTGCTGTGCTAATGAGGTATGGCAACCTGGACCGATGCACATATGTGCCTGGTCCTACGTTGTAGCTGACTGACTGACTGACTGAGATAGGCTGTTTGGAGAGCCGTAATACTAAAATCAGCAAATTCATGGTATGTGACGTCACTGAAGTGTTTCCCTAAGATAACTGGCATCTGCAGCAACGTAGCCTTCCAATATTGAAGGAGGGGGTTCAGAAAGGTTACAGTCCACCTTATCCCACGGATTTCCGTCTCCCGGGGCAAGCCCTTAAAAGTATGGAGCTAACTCATCTGAAACTATCTAGGTAGTTATCTTTTGGGATCTAGGACCATTCTGCTAGGCCATTCTTTCTTGCGAACTGTGACGATCATCAATCAAGGTCAGCCAGATGGGATTACGTTCAGTTCCCAAATTCTAGCTAGTTTCCCAGTCAGTGTCGCAGCTAAAACTGGGCCACCATCCCTAAACATTTCTGGAGCTAATCCATCAAAGCCTACTTCTCTTCTTCACTTTAGGTCACCCATAGCCTCAGCAACATCATTAAGATTTGGTCGACTTGCTTCAATTTCCCATCCAAGTTGGTTGCGGATAGACAGTAACTGACCGTAGCTGCTACCTTGACGTGGTGTTCGGGTTTGTCTATCATGATGATTCAACCGAGCTATGTTGGCTGGAACATATGTTCCTGTAGGTTCTACCATGCCAGGCAGGTCGATTGGAGAACGGTAAGACTAAAGGCAGCAACTCAGGGTTTGAGGGCGAAGTCGTACTGCTGACTGTAGAGGGGTGTGACAGCAGAAAGGAGTTTCCCTTCGGACAACCAGCATCTGCAGTGATGCTGCCTTCTCACAAGGAAGGAAGGGGTTAGAAAAGGTCGACCCTAAAAATGTCACACATCACCTTACCTCACGGCTTTCCGTCTCCGGCAGTAAGGCCTTTTGAAAGACGGAGCTAACACGTTAAAAACTCCTCACAAAAAGGCCGTGCGTGTACTTGTAGTTGTCCCTTGGGCTCAGCGGACACGCTTTCAGGTCGTTGAGACCAACACTGACCTAACTTCCTTTTCATGTCCCTCAAGAAATACCCTTCCACGGTGTGGGCACCCGGGAAGTGACACCAGCCCTCATACCCGTAACAGCACATGAGACCAAGTTGGTCACAATCATATCCTTCCTGCACCCCCTAATAATTATTATCTCTACTGCTAACCCTTCTCACGTCTATTTCTCACCTCGTACAGCTAGGGCAAACGATTCAAGTACGTGGAACGTTATTTCTGGTCTCCCGAAACCACGCTCTAAACTACATGTAGGAGCTTTTAACGTAAGAACACTGTGCCAAACAAAACAACAGGCTTTCTTAGCTAGGACTTTAGAATCTCGCGCCATCGATGTGTGTTGCGTCTCCGAAACGCGCATACAGGATCCGAGTAGTGTCATTCATTTGACCTCACCATGCCAAAATAAAGAACCGACTCGTTTCACACTTCGTGTATCTAGAAGCCCTGATACTGCTTCCCGTGGCCTCTCTGGTGTAAGTATAGCATTGAGTCCTAGGGCAGAATTAGCTCTTAGACTGGATCCCAGTAGACAGTCGTTTGTGCGCTGTCCGACTGAACGGAACAATAAGGACTCAGAAAGGTAGGGACACTCGTCGTTACCTCTTCTTCGTCTCTGCCTACTCTCCCATTGACTGCAGCTCAGATGAACTAAAAGATGAATTTTGTAAAAAGCTTTCTGACCTCCAAAAAGCTATGCGCTCTGATGTAGTAATAGCGGCTGGTGACTTTAACGCTCAAGTAGGTAAACTAAGCGACAAGGAAAGACACCTGGATAGATCTTATGGTGTCGTGGCTCAAAGAATAGATAATGGTGACCGTCTGTTTCTAGCAAATGCTAACTTTAAGCATAAGGAAAAACATCTTTTGACATGGCGACCCCGAATTCGTCCCAACGTTGGACCCAACTAGATCACATCGCTATCAGCCACTGATTGAGGGACTCGATAGAAGACTGTCGCTCGTTCCGGAGCACGTGCTTAGATGCAGATCATGCTCTAGTGCGAGCGCGTATTCGTCTGCGTCTTACTGGACGTAGGAAAGACACTGTACGGAAACCTCTTAGGGTTATACTTAATGATAGCCAGGCTAAGAATATATTTGACGAACAACTAGAAAAACAGTTAGGCAGCCATTTAAGTGATGCCCACCCCAAGGCGGATTGGGATGATATCCGAAAAGCCGTGAAAACAGTGATGATATCTGTTAGTACGGTAAACCACAAGGTTAGGGAGAAACACTGGATCTCAGCAGCATCTGCCGCACTGATAGATGCTCGGAAACTCATTCCACCTGGCTCTGAACATAATGAAGAGCGAAGTCAGCTTAAGCTCAGGTTGATAAGAAGCCTACTCAATGATCGCGAACGTTGGTGGATAGCGAAAGCAAGGGAGATGGAAAAGGCAGCGGCAATAGTTAACAGCAGACAACTGTTCAAACTTATCAAGGAAACCGGTATTGAGAATCCAACTGCTTGTCTCGATAGGCAACATTTACTGATGGAAAGGTACGTTAGAAGAAAGCTAAGAGTACCCAATCTAAACGTAATATCAGTGTATGAAGCCACTGGCTATTGGTCTGAGTCATGTTGATCAATCCAAACCACCTGGTTTGAGTCCTCGAGATAACTTTCATTATTGACTGGAGACCATAGGTAACATTGCTCAGAATCTTTCACAATGGCACGGATACATTCACTCTCTTTCTCTTGATAGTTGGTCTCAGTATCCCTTCAAACGTACGTTTCCACTCTGTCTCTTCGATCCCTGTTTCTAATGCATGGGTGTTTTCATTATCATTGCTGGTGCGGTGTTCCACTCATTTGAAGTTGGTGAAGCTTCACTCGGTAAAGCCCATGGGCTTATCTGTATCAAGTTCCGCCTCCCAAGGCTCGCGAACCTACGTCGTGGACCCGATTTCGTGTGGAAGTCGTCGGAAGCCCCGGTTCTCGGCACCCTGGCGTCTCACCAGCAGCAAGTATAGTCTACATGCACACAAATTACACACACATTTCCATGCATCCCATAGGTATATTCACTCACCTGGTAGTGTAAATTATCACCACTCCGTTTAAGCGTATTTGCCACATTGACTATCTCGTACGCATTATATACATACTACTGGTACAAAAACTTCCACGCATTTCATGGCACACACGTAAAAAAGCACTCGGGGAGGGTTGATGGTCACCTCCCATTATTGTTTGCTATCACATCTTTTTATTATGTATTCGACCTGAAGGACTGGGCCGTAAATTTTACTAGATATAGGGCAGACATTTCAGATTATGTTTCTTGTGTTAACCCACGCGCGTACCCTTTGCATATGCCTAAGTTCATAAACTACACAAGCCGAGACTCATGCAATTCATATACATAGGCGTACATATTGGACAGCTCGTCACGATTTTCGAAGCCTCGAAGAGTGAAGTCTGAGGAACCCAAATGTAGCATCAGAGCGTTGGTTCTGTCTAATCTCCACCGACCTTTTAGGTTAGCTACCAAGGCCGCCCTCACTACTCAGCATCTCCACATGAAGGGTTTGGGGCTGGTCTATATTCTGACTCCTTTTACTCCTCCGTTTGTTAATTTCATCTCGTCGTGCTAATGTGGTATGGTAACGGGCTAACGGACATTTGTTTCAGACTCTACGCTGATTATAACTGACTGAATATAATGAAACTTATCTGCTAAATATAGGTTTATGTATACGGTTTTGAGCGACATATTCCATATGAATGCTAAT